TGTGACGACGCTAGCTGTCGGCGCGATCGTTTCTATTAAATTTCTTTTTGGCGTGTTTTTCGTAGGAAGTGTAAATTTTTATATGTGCCTTTATTGAGGTATGACCTGTAGCTACAGGCGAAACTTCAACCAACATTTTAAGCATTGTTGACAGGGCAGGCAACACATGAATCGCAGCTGGTATATGAAAATAAAGAAATATGGCCACAATTGCAGGAGCACCACTATAGATTTACATCTCGCACAATAAATGCTGCTGATGGTCTGAATGAATATGTAGGTTATGTATACTATTTGTTTTGTACCTCTGTTTTTAAACAAAGATTGCCGAAGCAGAAAACCTGTATGCTGCTCGAGCAACATACTAAATACAGTCTGGGCTATTGGGAGGGAATCACAAGTAAGACAGCCCAAGTGCAGGGGCAAAGTAAAAAAAAAAAAAAAAACAAGGAACATTTGTTATATACATTGCTCGCATTTGACCTTTGCTGGATTCGGATAGTATTTCAATGGACTACACGGGTGGTATTTGTGGACTTATTTATATCAACCCTCAAGTAATGTATAACAAACGTAAACGAAGGTGGCTAGCTCGGTATTAGTCCCTTAAGCCATAAAATTGAGATTTTACTTTAATCTAATTGTCCTGAAGCTAAAATACCAAAAGCTTTTCTCACGCAGACTGTCGCCCTTCACAGGTTCCACATTTTCTGCTACTAGCGCTGCATCTACCACTGGACAGACGTTCGAATGCTTGCTTTTACTCCTGTTTTCCTCTGCTGTCAGAGAGTCCAGCTGCAGGGAGTTTGGAGGCTGAAGAAGCTTTTGGAGACCTGCCGCAGTGTCCCTTTTATTTGGAAATGACAATTCAGACTAAACGGTGTATTTTGCGAATACCCAAAACTGGAATAAAAATGTCAGGAAAAAGTACAAACATTCCAAATTACGGCACTATTGCTGTGCATATTTTGGGCAGTTCAATACATATAGCCAACTGGGGGCAATTCGGCCGTTTTTGCTGCTACCATACAAACTAATTTCTAGTAATTGTGCATCTTCTAAGAAATATGCCTGCATACGTGTATAAACTATATAATTCACGAAGAAGCTACATTTATGTAAAACAACCCTATTCCACGAGCACTTCAAAGATAATCAAACACAGGGCCTTTAAAACATCAGCGAACCAGCGCATGCAGAGTGGCAGCGCAAAGTCGGGGTAGTGAGCTAATTTGCCGACCATGCCAAAGTCCCATGATATAAATGCCGGTTTAAATGCCTTGAAAGCGGGATGTAATATCGTCCTAAATCATGAACATGCAAGGAACAGAATTCCAGCGTCCGAAACACTTGCGCCACCGCTTCACTGATCCCTCGCAAAATTGCCTTGTGTCGTGTAAACGGACGGAGGTTCATCGCCGGAATTGCCTACGCCGATAGCTTTCGGGATTCGTAACCCAATTTTAAAAGTAAAAGGGACAAGCAGGCTTATAAAATGTACGGAAGGACGTAACCCAACGTCTTGTACACCGGGTAAACAAAGTCCAGCCCCTCGAAGAGCTTGCGGCACACAAAGCCAAACCAGGAAACCGGTGCTGGGAAGCGAGCCGATGCGAGATCGCGGAGCGGAGTCATCGCCCTGACGTCACGGTACACCTCACCCAATCAGGGCGCGGCGACCGCAGCGACGCTTGTGTTCGCTCTCGGGGCTAATAATAATCTCTACTTGCACAAAGCACGACCTTGGCCTACCGTGCTAAACTTATTTCTTTTTTATCTTTCTGTTCTTTCTTCTCTCTTTTAATCCTCTCACCCCTCTCCCCCAAAACAAAGTAGCAAACCGGGACAAAATACCCGAGGTTAACTTCTTTGTCTTCCTTTCTGCCCTTTTCTCCTGTTATGAGAAAGCAAAAAAAAAAAAAAAAGAAGCAACTGAGATTTTGAGAGAATCGTTTTTGCAACTTGGTACGCTCAAGCCACGGCTCGCTAGTTTCGTGAAATCGCTAGCAAATCCGTTATCCTTTTATCAGAACCTGGCAGTTACGCTGGCGAAGAAATGGCGACGAGTCAAGCACTACATTTTTTGACAAATTACCCAAGCACCGCGGAGAATGCTCGGAATGCGGGAACATTTGCCCCACACGCTAGTGTTACCTGAAATAACGTGCCATTTGCTTTAGATTTTCTTTAGAAAAGGTAGTGTTACAGACACCAGCACGTGTAACTATTTTTGCAACATGCATATGCTCCTTTGTGAGTGCTTAATTTAGCAAGATAACTATAGATCATTCCAGAAAAGCGCTTCTGGTCGGCGCCATTTTTAGCGTTCATGTGTGTGGCGCGTGCTTTGCTCGCCTTCCAAAGCGGCAAACATGCGCGTGCTGGGCTCTGAACTTATACCTGTAAACTGTGATCCTCGCAAACATTAAAATGTATGGAATGGAATGAACCTCGTTCGTGTAGATCACGGTGTATGGTTACTGGTTCATGAGGATCGTGCTAAAGTGACATTTAAAATAACTCCGCAACCGCCGAGCCAAACATCAAGGTGCTATGAGAGATGTATAAAATACACAAATACACTATCCATCTTCAAATAAAGAATATTTCTCCGAAGATACAATACCGCGTAAAGTACAGAAATGTATCATCAAATTTTTAATGCAAAATAAGTCAACAAATTTACAAAAAATATTTGTAACAATATTTCTCTTTTTTTTTTATTTTTTTCTAACGGACTAGAATGCAGCTCGCTCAATGAGTCATCCACGAGTGCACGTGGGAAAAGAATAAATCTATAGAGGATTATTTTTTTTTTTCATATTAAGTTTTAGTTTTGCACAGTTTCCACCAGTTGCACATTTGCATGCCTCCCCTCAATGACATTAATCATTTTCATGGTTTTTAAAATTTTTTCAGCCGTACATAACATTTCTCCATAATATAATAAAATACAAATGTTTTCACTACCTCTTCTGTGGGAGAAAATTGCACGCCATCCACTTGACAAACCAGGCACCAACTTTTTCGTATACTAATGGATCTCAACATCTGTTCCATAGGCCTCTGTATTACCAGACAGAAATAACAATATTTCGAAAATCATGTCTAAATTCAGACTTGAACTTTGTTTAGACGTTTCACTTCTCGTCTTCAACAGGTCGACCGCGTGAGTGGAACTCCGAGCGTAGCCCGAGCTGAATTCGATGTGCAAAACAGATATAATGTTTATGAAAAAAAAAAAAAAAAGAAATCACTGAAGCAATTATGAGAAAGAAATGTGACTTCGCCTAATGTCGACTATAGCGCTAGAATGCGCACAATTTTTCTCGATATCATTAGCGCTCTTCTTTGGACGGATGGCGTAATGGTCACAGCCGGCTTGAGTTTTCGCTCGCCGCTCTTGAGGCGGTTCCAGCTACAGGATAACTCGCAGCACGTGGCTATAAGGTATTCCGAGCATAAGTAAGAATGTTTCACGTGACAATACTTTTCTCGGCACACAGCTCGCGCAAAAGCACCTTGATGTGGCTGCCATTCATTGCTGCCGGGGAGCGGATTTTTTTTCTCCCCAGATAACAAGGTTAAGAAAGAAGCTTTTTCGCGGCACTGTTCCTACAATGGGAGCACAGACTGCTAGCCATTGCAAAAGAAACTTTTAACCTTGAAGCCGCGAAAAAATACTCTTGATTGCTGCCGCCCGGAAAGCCTCTTCGCGGCTGCCCGGGTCGCTCGTCCGCCTGCCCTCCGGTGACGTAGCCGGGTAGGGAAAAGTAGGGATTTTCTTTGTTTCCAGTAGATAGTCGCCTCCTGGAACCCTCGCGGCCGGTGTAAGTTTAAAAATGCAATAACTTTGCGGAAAATTGGTTTCTTTCATAAAGTATTTCGGCTATCAGTTGAGAAAGGTTTATTGATGCGGTGTGCCAATTTCCAGCCAAAGCGAAGTCTATTAAAAATATCTGCAGAGTTTCTCTTTAAGTCAAGTTGGCTTGGGGCGCATGAAGACGCCACTCCCCGAACACCTCACTCTCAAGAAAAAAAGGTGTCAAAAGGTGTATTCTTACACCCTTTGTCCCATAGAATACACCCCCAAACTTCAATTCGACGTACAGTGCCCTACAGTCAAACAGACGGCGCGAAATTTTACGAGGGGCTTGATAGCCGTGTGGTACAACTTATTAAAATATCTAATGTATGTTTTACTGAAAACAAGAAAAATAATCGGGGTTTTCTTGGCCCTACTGTAAAAACTCGGTGTTTTCTTTATGTGGTCTTTGATACGTACTTTAGCTATTTAAAATGTTGCACCACACGGCTGTCAAGCCCCTCGTAAAATTTCGGGCCGTCTCTTCGACTGTAGGGCGCTGTACGTCGAATTGAAATTTTGGGGTGTATTATATGGGACAAAGGGTGTAACGATACACCTTTTGACACCCTTTTTTCTTGAGAGTGCTGCTACTCCAAGTGACCCCAGCGAGGCCCTGGAATAAGGGTATATAAAGTGCGCTTGCACGAATAAACAAACGGCAGGAAAGGCATAGACAACTGAGAAACTAAATATGCAATAAAGCTATATCGACGTTCCTCAAATCAAGTGGTTCTTTAGCGAATGTGATTATGAAAGTAACGTATAATTGTATAACTATATTTTTTTACAAGTCCGAGGAAATGTGGATCATATTTCAAAAGCCCCTTCGATAACTATATGGTATGTAGAAACTCTATTAACGTTTGATGTTATTTTTGGTCTAAAAATATATCAGACTTTCCGATTGTTAGTATCAGTGTAAGGGTTTCTGAAGATCGTCTGCGATTAAGATTTTAAGCAGAAGTTTGGATAGGTTGACGAAAACAAACCCAGTTTTGCACCTCAAGGCCGTGTAAGCTAAAATTGCGTTACTCTAGTCACGTATATTCTACCATATCAAGGACGCGTTTCCACAGGCAAGAAATTACTTTAGAAAGGACCCGACGAGAAATAGGAAGCCAGACGCAGTAACTCCGAACAACAACAAAATAAAATTTATTCGGGAGCAGCGTCTATATAAGTACGAAGTAATGATCTTTATAACAAACTAACACTATTTAGTGAACTGGGACGAGTCCATTTTCAGACGCTTGAACGGTTCTCCCGCTTCCTCGCACACGTGCCATTTCTATGTGACTTGCAGACACAATTAAATTTAACAACGAACGCCCGTGGGACCGATCACTGTGCATCGCTTTTCAGCTTCTCGGCCATGACGACGAACGCGGACTCGATAACCGCTGATGAGCGTACAGACTCTTCCAGGCAACGCCACAGCTTGACTTGGAAACCCGCTCGCACTAGAGCATCCTTCACCGTGTCCGGCGTCAGGTCGAGACAGGGAAACGTGACTCCACCCACAGTGTACTCGCGGCAGCCGAGGACGCCACACAGAATCAAAAGCCCTCCATCGCCAACGAGGCCGCCGACGTTCTGCGCCGCCTTGCGGAAGCTGTCTTCGTCCGGGCAGGCGCTCTCTAGGCACAGGCAGGAGAGGACCACGTCGAACTTCTCCCAGTGCTCTTCTGGAAGGACTCTGGGATCCAGGACATCGCAGGGGATCACCTTCCTCACGGCATTCCTCGTTCTCGTCGTTATCTCCTCCGCTCCTCGCTTGACGTCACTGTTTCAGCATGCAAGCACAACACTCGATCACTTGCTGAATTGTCAATCAGTTGCTTATTATATTGCGAAAGCATTAACTGTCCCATAGAGCGGAGCCGGCAGCGTCTGTAACCGCGAAAGACGTGCCAGAAATTCACAGGAGCCGGCGGCGTCTGCAATCGCTGTAACCGCGAAACAACGCGAAAGAAATTCCCAGCAAAAAGGCTCCTATATGGCCATTGGCCGCGACGCGTATAGTTCCAAGGAACGCCACCCCGCAAAGAAGCCCTCTCTATGGCGCAACGGCCCGGCCGCCGGTAAGAGGCAGAGGGTGGCCGGCTCGGCCAGCCGGCCGTTGTGCAGAGTCCGCCCGGGCAACCTCTGGAGAGGTTGCCCGACCGCGCTCAGCGCAGTGCGCAGCTTTAGGAATATGCTACTTATAGGATTGCTTTCGTATTCCTACACGTTAGTCGTTTTAAGTGTCCTATTTTTATTAGTACTCGATATATATATATATATATATATATATATATATATATATATTTATATACGGAAGAAAACGCACTAGAGACGGTTGTTAAAGTTTTTAAAACATATTATTCGTAAAGTTGGTCGGCGTTTCGGCCTACCAACTTTACGAAAATATGTTTTAAAAACTGCAACAACCGTCTCAAGGGCATTTTCTTCCGTATATACTTTTCGTCATCCTGCGCTACGTTTTCTCTCTCTCTCTCTCTCTCTCTATATATATATATATATATATATATATAGTGAACGAAGCGGGGAGACAGTGAATATTGAATTTATTGCATTATTGCATTAATATTAAGGGAAGGAAGGAGGGTATATACACGGTGCAGCCTGTCCCCATGGGCACGAGTGGTTCTTTAAATACCTTCGAAAACGGGCCCTTTCCGACACTTGCAAGCTGATATGACTTGCTACGTCACTGCAGCTACTGGAAAATAGCATGGGCTTTAAATTGGTAACGGCTGTCGTCTAACCAGTCAATCAAATCCTAACCTAACAGTACACGGAAAGCTGGTCAAACTTTTAGTCCGTCGAAACCAGCGGCCGGGATGGCCCAACCGGTTAAGGCGTCGCCCCGGATAGGCGAAGCTTGCGGCTTCGATCCCCGCTCCAGGCTCAATCTTACTCAATGAAAGCAGCTCAAACGACGAAGGCGAAGGGAAGACGCACACACAACGAGACGAAGAGACATACACGACCGGAACAGCCTCATCCTGTCCGTGTGTGTTTCTTCACTTCGTCTTCGTCGTTTGAGCTGTTTCCTTTATCAAGAACGTTTACCAACTCGCCGAATTGGATACCTTAGTACTGGCCTATTTTTTTCAAGCTCTCTTCTTTTCCCTTTCCTCAAGCATTAATGCAGACTCAATAAGCAGTCTCTTCCCTTTTTGGTCACAATATTACCACGGCTGCATTTGTCAATCTTACCTCACTCCCAATAGATACATACATATAACTGATATGAGCAATGTATTTTTTTAATTTATTTTGTGTAACCTTTTAATTAATTCCAAATGACGTCGGTAAACACGTGCACTGAGATACGTTGTGGCTCGCAACACAAGCGCAAACTCCTCAAGCGTGGTGTACCGCAATACGAGCTAGTCCAGTGAAGCGCCGACCTAGTGCCAATACCACCTAGAAGACAAGGCCTGCCACCTAAACGTCATCACTAGAGGCTCCCCACAGCGCCGCCAAGGTTCCGTCACCGCCAGAGCGCCTCACACAGCGACGTCGAGACGGACACGTGTAGCTCGTTCTCTCGCCGAGCTGCAGCATGTCTGCCATTAGGTCGGGATCCAAAACCGATGACGTCGTTCGCAGGACTTGTCCTCTAGGTAGTAAGAGCTCCGTTCCCAGCAACATCTTCGTGCTCGTAGCTCAGGCTTAGCTCACATTTAGGGTAGACTAAAGGAAAACTTAAGCAATTCTGTATTTGAGGAAAACCACTTAGATCGTCTTCGTTTTGCCTCCACCGACCACGCATATCAAAATTACTTTCAATTTGGTGCACGGATGCTGCAGAAAATCATTTTTAATGTACCGCCCAAGATAGGTCTGATAGGCGCATCTTCAGCGCCTATCAAACCTATCCATGCACACTCTTGCTATTAAAAAAAAAAAAAAGAGGAAAAGACGTTTCGTTTGGTCGAAATTCTTTGTTTTTGTAAGCGTTTCGTTACATACTCGGTTAAAACGAACGTGGTAATGCCGAATCAGAGCGCATCTCTTGAGGAGGAGGAGGGAAGGGTAGAGAGAGGAGCGTATGCACTTTTCCTCCTCCCTACCTCCTCCTCCTCTTCTCCTTCGCTTCTCCTTCTTCTCCCGCTCCTCGTCCCTCTTCCCCTCCTCCCGTCTCCTCTCATTCTCCTCACCTCCTGCTCCCCCTCAAGAGCTGTGCTCTAATTCGGCATTAATGCAACGCGCGGTCACAAGTGACGTCATTATGGGAAACGTCCCATAATGCAACGCGGGGTAAAGCGCGATCCAAACCAACGCTTCTTTTTGCGCCTGTAGGTCGTGCGGCTGCGGATGTGACGTATTTTCGTGACGTCGCGCCACTTCTTCACTCCTTCCGGGCGCGCACAAAAAACTTGGAAAATTTCAACTTCTTTCTCAACGCGCACAAAAACGCGCGGTGACGTAGTAGGGCGCTCCTGTGTCCCGGCCAATCGGTGGAGGGCAAGCTAGTTCCGGCTCCGCGTTTCTTCGCCGCCTTCTCAGAGCAAGTGACAAAAGCGCCCGGTGCGCATCCACAATTGGCCCTCTCCTCCCCCCACTTTTATTCTGTTCCAACATAACGACGCGATCTCTCTCTCTCTCTCGCCGCCTTCTGGCTGCGACAGCTTCTGGCTGCGGCAGCTTCGGGCGATCGCGCGTGCGCGATCGCCCGAAGCTGGCCCGTCCAAACCAAAGCGCACGGTTCTGACTCAGAAAGCGCGCCCGGAAACAGCAAAAACGTCGGGAAATGCGTCACATCCGCAGCCGCACGACCTACAGGCGCAAAAAAAAAGCGTTGGTTTGGATCGCGCTTGACGCCGACGGCGCCGCCGCTGAAGCTGAAAACGGGCGCCTAAGAGCTGCGCTATAAAATACTCTAGCATCCACCTCTAACTACAGGAGACAAAGTTTCCAGCTTGAATGGATGCCTGTGCTGGACAAACTGGGCGCCCTTAAAATGTTTAGCCTTGTCCAGCCAGCCAGGGTGTGACTGGCGGGTTTAGTGAGTATTTCATGTTTTATGTATTTGTTCCCAGAGCCAGAAAGGTAATAAATAAAATAAAAAAAGTGTCTGCGTCGCCTAGTCGGTATAGCGTGTCTGGCTCGCAACGAAGGGTCGTGGGCATTTCTCTTCTAATTTTTTTTTCGTTCTTATTTATTTTTGCGAGACGTCGGCACTGACAAACATAGTGGCAGGTGGAAATAAGGCTCAACGTTCCGACTTGCCCAGAGGGCCGCTGCATTGTTCTCGTGCTCAGCTTCATAGAAACCTTCACGCTTTCCCATTCCTTGATTTAAATACGAGACAAATGCAGGTAGAAAGCATGGTTGCAGAAAAACGGTAAATAATAAAAAAAAATGTGTGTGTGCGTGGGGGGATTATATTTGCAGGTAAACTTCGATACAAATCATTATAGTAAAACCGGTTTCACTTAAGTCACGATTTAAATTATCTTGATATTTTTCTTTCCACCAGCTGTCACGATTCAAGAATGGAACCTTTTGCGATTTAAGCATTTCGCGTCAGGCGCTCAGACGATACAGTTTTTCCTCTGTCACGAAAGCGTTTTCTGCGATTCGAGATAAAACTTGAGATAACTGGCAAGAGCGATTTTAAGCGCGAATTAAGTTGGCTCGGGTGTCGATACTCCGAAACGTACCACATTCGGTAATTTGTAGAGCGCAGCTCTTAGGCGCCCGATTCCGCGTATAGCGGCATCGCCTTGGGCGTAATTTTTCGCTAAATTTAGCGGAAAATTGAATTGGTGTTGAGGTCACGTGCCGTCAATTTTCTCGCTAAATCTAGCGGTGAAACTGAATTTGTTCATGCGTGACGTGACATGAAGTCATGTAACATCATTTTTCCCGCTAAATCTAGCGGGGAAACTGAATTGATGTTGTGGTCACGTGGCGTAAAATTTCCAGCTAAATTTAGCGGGAAAACTGTGGGAGGCGGGGAGAGTATGGAGGAGAAGGAGGGGAGGGTACGGTGGAGGAGGAAAGGAGGCGAAGGAGGAGGGAAGAGAAGAGCAGAGGAGGGAAGGCGGAGTGTATGAGAGGGAGGATGGCATACCCTCCTTTCCTCCTCCTCAAGAGCTGCGCTCTAATTTCGCATTACAGAAATTTGTAAACATGTTCCTTCTTTTTTCTTTTCATGAGTATTTGTCCGGCTTTTAGAGTGTGCCTAGATTACAGTGTTTCCGACTGCTCGATCTGAGTGGCGTGGTCTATGGGGGACCGCACTTGGAATAAACGCTGGAAAGAGCCAGACGCTTTGATCGCCTGTGAGAATCTCCGCCTATGACCCTCTTTCCTCCTCTCCCCTTGACCACGCAGCGAATACGACCGCGTTTAAATTGCGAACGCCCCCCGTGGTTTCGGCTGCTCTCTCTCTTCAAAACTATGCTCTCTACATTTAGTCACTAAAAGAATATCTCGATTTATAGAGGATAAGGAACAATAGGTGCTGATGTATACACAACTTGTGATATATAAGTATATATATATATATATATATATATATATATATATATATATATAACAACCTGTCGAGCTATCTTCGGATAGTTGAGTCCACGACAGCAACTCAACTACAAAAGTCGGGGCGTTATCCACTAGGTTTCGGATCCCCTTTTCGTTTATGGCACAAACGAATCTGTTTTCTTTCTGTTCCTGATCTGGCTCTATGGCAAGAAGTCAGCTAGGGCCGCCTTCATTTTTTGCATTTTATTTCTAAAGTAGAAGAGTTTAATTACAAAAAAAAAAAAA